GAGGTGACAGCATCGCGACAGATTGGAGATCACCTCCACACACACACTGGCATTAACAGATTGACTGTGATGAATGGATACTTCCCGACTGAGAGGAGGAAAGAGGGGAGGCCTTCTTTCATGTCATGGGCAGAAAGATGGAGAAAGGCCTCCCATGTGTAAATGACAGTGTCCTGGACAGCTTTTCATCTCGGGCAGCCTCTGGGTGTATAGAGTCAGAGAACATGAATAGGCTTCATGCAGAGGCAGTGGACAATAACGTCTTCCCTCATCCTCATGATATCAGGTTCAGAGAAAATACACCCAGGGTGCAATGTCTTTTCTCAAAAAGGAGATCCATGACTCTATAGGAGTGATATTAGATCAATTGTGAGTGTGGCGTGTCTCTGTTTCTTGTCTCAACCACAAAAACCACAGTTGGATAGAGGTCACGACCCATGGTAAAAGGTTAAAGGTCAGATGTTGCTGACAGGCCAGAGTGGTAACATGAGAGACCTTGTAACAGCGTGTGGTGATACACCAAGTTTAGGCCTCCACGAATAAAGGAAATCACTTTCCACCTACATCTTCAGCTACATTGGTATTGTTGCATGTCAGCCAATAATTGACAACCTGCAGTGAGTGCGGAAACAGCCTCACCATTACCATTGTGGACAAGGTGAAGGTGTTTTCAGCTGTAAAATGTTCCACTAAATATATTCACAGTTCTCAAAAACAAATAATTTAACACCTATCTATCGATATTTTACATAGCATTGCTGTCATCCTTTTTTCTTTATCACCACTACTGCAGCACAGACCGGCATCATGCACCAAAAAATATGAGCGCAATTGAGTAACTATAAGGTCACAGTTTACCCACATCACTGCACATATCAATACACATTCACTAACAGTTGATCCAATCCTAAAAGCGTTCTATGGTGTCCTTTCAGCAAAGGTGTGGTGATGACTTTGGCCTTTACTTTCACTCAGCAATCATTTTGTAAGAGCACCGGAGGTCTCATGTTGGAGCTCCACAGCTGTGTGTGTTCCTTGTCTTCCATTCTCCCCTCTGTCAGTCTGTCAATCAGTGACAGCAAGGCCTTGGTCTCCTGTGTGGCGCCATCTCACCGTCCAGACCCTCTCTAATTCCATCTAATAGGTCCCGCTTTGACTGACAGTCCGCAGTGCCACGTGGCTTCCCCCTGTCCAGCCCAGAGGCGACAGTGAAAGGCACAGCCAACCACATTTAAATGTTCTGCTCTTCTGCTTGAAAGCAGGGGACAGTTTTTACGGGTTCGTGGATTACTGTTCTGTAGGTGCCAAGTGCTTTTAAGGAGTCAGTCATTTTCAACCGGGAGAGAGTCTTGAGGACCTCGTGGCCCTTTTATGAAAAACAAAAATAACAGCACTTTACTGGGCTCAAGGTGATTCCTCCACAGCTCCATCTCACTTTAACCATGACAAATCTCCCAAAGTGGTAGTAATGATTGTAATTGAACGGGCACAGTTCCTTCCCACAGTGCTCTATCTATCACCTTGGATGCAATCTGCTCCTTCCACTCGTGTGTGTGTGTATGTGTGTGTGTGTGTGTACGTATTCATGTGTGTCAGTCTGCGTGCGTCTCTGCGAGATAGCGCGTCCCTGTACGCGCCCCTCTGGCAGCTGGCAGATGCGCTGGTAACCGTGAGCGACAGTGTTAGTGTGTTTGTGGGATTATGAAGAGCTCCCAGCATGCTCTGCAGCGTGGGTCCACTGTGAAGTTGTGGAGAGGAAGCGGTGCTGTGGTGGCGGAGCCTGGGGCGGTCATCACAGCAGCCCTCAAACAACACTGCGCCTCATGGGGGGGGGGGGGGGGGGGCAACCCTGTGGGCCATGAAAGGAGGGGGGGGGGGGGGGAGATAGAAAACAACAGAGAGGGAAATGCAGGAAGTCAGGGCCTAATGTGGGTGTTAGCTGAGTTGGATTGAATGGGTAGTCAGGACTGAGAGGGAATCTGTCAGAGGAGTGAGTGAGTGTGTGTCATTGTGTATGTCAGTGCACACAGTTTATGTGTATGTGTGTGTGTGTGTGTGTGTGTGTGTGTGTGTGTGTGTCTCTGTATGTGTGTGTGCTAGAGGTGATGGCTCTGTAATGAAAACAGCTGGCAGCCAGTGGTCAAGGGTCCGTCTTTGTGGCTGACTGATGTCAGTCACCAGCGGACAATTGCCTCCCTTGGGGATGGCTGCTCGGATGAGGATGGATTACTATTTTGTGTGTGTGTGTGTGTGTGTGTGTAAGTGTGCCTGTGTGTGTGTGCGTGTGTGTGTGTGTGTTTGTATTGCTATCAAGTAATATATTTCAATTGGATTTTAATTCATGTAGTTGAAGGTGAATAGATGCCTAAATTCATATATGTTCTTGTATTAATCACAGTGCGGGGATAAAAATCTCTTCATATAGTCACGTTATGGAGAGACTCACCTCCACTTTGGAAAAAAAAACGCTGGTCCCCACAAGGAAAATCCACACGTTTGGGTTCAGACTTTTTTTTCTTTCGGGTTATCTTAGGTTTAGGCATGCCGTGGTTATGAATAGGGGCCGGCAAGTCTCCAGGAAATTAATGTAAGCCACTGCAATATTCTTCCAAATGATAAAAAAAGGTTGTGCGTGGGGTGAGAATATGCATCTACAAGCATGGGAACATTTGTATGAGAATGGTTTTGTGTCAGCTGTTCCTGATATCCATATATGATCCTTGTATGGAATTGTTCTGTGTGTGTGTGTGTGTGTGTGTGTGTGTGTGTGTGTGTGTGTGTGTGTGTGTGTGTGTGTGTGTGTGTGTGACAGAGAGAGGGTTAGAAGCCCTGCTTGTCTCAGGGGAGCAGAGTGATATGGTGTCATGCTCCGGAGACCCACAGACAAATTAATTCACTTATTGACACTGCTGACACGTCTCAGTGACTTTGTAAAATGAACAATTGATCAGGCTTCCTCTCTCTCCCCGCTGTCTATCTTTACCTGTCTCTCGCACTCTCCGCACTCTATTCTCCCGACCTCTCTCTCCCTCCTTTCCTCCCCCCTTCTCTGCCGTTTGCCACTCTGACCACTCTCCAACTCCTTTCGTCTGTAGCTTTGTTCCTTTCCCTTCTTTTTTGCTCTCTTTCTCCTTTCCACTCGTATCAAGCTCTCCCTTTTCTTTGGCTGGCCGATTGACAGCCGTGGCACGTACAGTAATTAATATAATTACGCGCAAGCTGGTCATTAGCGGCAGAGGGGACTGATATCATCAAGATGTCGGTTTGTGTGCATACATGAGTTTCTGAGCGTGTGTACAGAGATGATGCGCGAGAGAGTTTGTGTGAGAGGAGGAGAGGTTGTGAAAGCAGCTTCCTTGTCTGTGTGTCCAATAATTTCAAGCTGTTGTGTGAAAGCACCGTGAGGCCGAGAGTTGAGTGTTTGTCCAGTGCTGTTCTCTTGGCCAGAGGAGTAGCTACAACTACAGCGCTGCCGGGGCTCATAGAAAATCAAAGCACATCAAGGTTGTTTACTTTCCATTAATCATAATTTGGGCACAAAGCACAATGAATGGCCGCTGCTCTGGGGAGACTCACTGTCAGGGCCTCGGACGGCTTTTGTTTGGCTCCGAGCCGCCCTCCGATACCAGCAGCCACAGAGGAAGTGTCCAGTCGGGGTTGGGAATACACTGCCACAGAGACACACACTTATCTTTTTCTTATTCTTTGTACAAACAGGAGCAAGGAGCATTGGCTGGGTGTGTTGAAACCATGTTTTATTACTTGGCTAAGTTGTGCTTTGTGCCTCCTACCCTTCTGGGGTTCACAACTTCTCTCCTCTACACCTCTCCTCCTTTTGATTCCTGTACAGGTTTGCGAAGGGAAGAAAAACTTGGGGACAGCGTGAGAACTATTGAAAAGAACAGAGTCTCGTAGTGAAAGAATGACAAGAGGGAAAA